ACTGTTTACTTCGGTGAGCGAAAGTAATTAGGATTAAAAGCTTCTTAAGTGCACCAATATAATTACATTTGATAGGGCGAATGTGAAAGCTGTTCGCAAGGGAAAAAAATATATAATAGCATATCTGATGGATGCACTGATGGGTAAGAAGTCCCGTCAGAGTTGTAAATAGCTATCCCTCCGACTGCACTGACCCGTGTTCCCTTACGAAAAATAAGTTTATTCAAGTGTGCTATTAGTATACTTCTTTTAAAAATAAACTTGAAGTATACTACTTTTTGGTAAGGGTTAGTATCTAAACAGACCGCATTTATGTATTTTTCTGTTAATATTTGGATTGTCTAACTACAGCGATGAACTAATTGTGTCAGTTCATTCCGAATAGAGTCCCGGTTCCTAAAAGAAACACTAAAAAACAACCATTTCATTTAGCACTTCATTATTAATCAGTTTTTAATGGCATACTTATTGTACACGTTTGAACTACATGAGACAGCAATCCCTACAACAGTTGTTTTTGTTTCGAGTCGAACATAATGAAAGAAACATTTGCGTTGTCAGTAGCCTCTCCAAATGATTCACAATGTTTTTGATCTAAGCTGGTGTCATTCGTTCGGGAATCGAACTGCGCTGGGGGCGCGTTATACGTTTGATTCACTAAAAATAACCGGCTCACACGAATCATTCGTTCGGGAATCGAACTACATTGGTCACTGTGTGTTCCGCGCTGTACATTCAGTAGCGGTGCTGCTGCGCCGCTGGATAGTCAGAGCATTTTATTACGGACTCCCGTCCGCTTCGGAGGAAGAATGCACGCATAATGCAACCGAAAGTCATGAGACTCATATTTATAAAGCAGAATGGGTTCTTGGTTCTCAACACTAGCCGACACTACCCGCATGTTGAGAGGAGCGCGTGGTTTTATACAGGGGCGTAGCCATCATTTCAGAAGTGAGGGGGACAGAAATGTTATTTATATATACACACACACACACACACGTATATATATATATATATATATATATATATACACACAC